ACAGCAAGTTGTCTGTCCTCAGGTGGAAGCAGAGGGTGTTGAGCCCTGATACAATTGATACAAATGTGTTTTTATTATGCAGCCATGTAAAATGCCTGACAAATGATCCTGCAATTATTTGATTCCTGAAATACAGCTTCGTTTATATGCTTCATAGACCTTCAATTACAGGCAGTTTAACTGCCCCAGGACCCCCGCTGCTGAGCTCTGAAATATCAACATGCTTGCTTTGAGGCAAACATGCTTCCTGCTTCCCAGGGGCTGCTCTCAGCCAAAGACTGAGCATAGTGGGGACACTCAGGCATGCCCACTTTGGCTTTGGGGATTCACGTGATGATCTTGCTGAGACTTAATTAGACTGTACTGGTGGTCAAGAATTCGTTCATTCAGTTTTCCTTCCTTCTCTTCTTCACATGGGGTCAGCCTTACCCGGCCACCTCCCCGCTTTCCCTCACAAGCATTTCTTCTAACAAATTCCTTGCATACTTACCTTTGTCTTGGTATCTGTTCTTCAGAGTACCAGCACTAACATAAACTGATTAAAAGTACGGCTTTTCCAGGCACAGAACCATATGATTGATATCTTGCATGTTGGGTCAGTAGGAGGAGCATAAGGATATATGATAGGGTAGCTTCTAGGAGCATCGAGAACTCTCAACAGTGGTATCCTGTGTGGGTTTTGGTAAGAACTTGTGAATCAAGAAAAGAACTGAGTGAAACTTTGCTTTAAGCATCTTTAAATTAAAAGACAGAATTTCCCAACAAGTAAATGTATAATGATTTGAAAATGTAAAATCAAGTATTTGGATTTAAAAAGCATATGAGTTTGAGAACAAAGAAAGTATAGGGTTTAGAGAAAGCCAGATCTGAGTTTGAGCCCCAGATCATCCTTGTCATCTTGGGAAAATTACTGTGTTATTGGATTTTTTTTCTTTTGAAACAGGGTCTCACTCTGTCATCCAGGCTGGAGTGCAGTGGTGCAATCATGGCTCACTGCAGCCTTGACTTCCTGGGCTCAGGTGATTCTCCCACCTCAACCTCCTGAGTACAACCACACCCACCTGTTTTTTTTTTTTTTTGTACAGACAGGGTTTTGCCATGTTATCCAGACTGGTCTCCATCTCCTGAGCTCAAGATATACACTCACTTTCGCCGCTCCGCAGTGCTGGGATTATAGGAGTGAGCCATGAAACCTGGTCTTGTTATTGAATCTTGATTCCAGTGATTTGCTTTCCTCCTTGGATGTGAAGTATATAACCTTATCTACTGGCTCCCTGCAGGAGGCATAAACCTCCTACCTGATTGACATTGGTCTTGGCCATGGGACTTGCTGGGGTCCAGGGACTATGTGGCTGAGACATAGGTGAGTCTGAACGAAGCTCTTAAGAGCCAGTGCAGAAGGTGGTTACTGCTTTCTTTTCCCTCTGCCACAAGAAGCACAAGACCAGGGAGAGGCTGCTTGTACAGCCTGGATTCTGGAATAACATTGCAGAGCCACAACTGGCTGGTAGCTGCCATTACTGACAGCCAACATAAGCAAAATAAACTTTCAGGGTTGAAAACCACTGAGATTATTCTCCAAAGTTTTAATGTTGAAAATTTCAGAATAAAGTTCAAGGAGTAGTTCAACTGACACCCTCACTTAGATTCTCTAATTTTGCCACGTTTGCTAAATTTGTCTTGTTCTCTCCCTCAATCTAGAGCTCCCTATTTTTGCTGAAACATTTGAGAGTTAGTTATAGGCATAGTGATATTTGGTTCCTAGATATTTTAATATATATATATCCTTAAACAAGGTTTATTTCGTATATGACCATGACACTATTGAAATGTTCAAGAAATATAACATTGATATAATATTTAGTGTACAGTTCATGTTCAAGTTTCTCTGTTACAATGTCATTCTTTGTAATTTTTTTTCCTGATCCAAAATCCAAGTGAGGATCATGCACTGCTAATAACTGTGTATCTCTTTAGTCTCCTTTTTTTTTTTTTTTTTGAGATGGAGTTTCGCTCTTGTTACCCAGGCTAGAGTGCAATGGCGCGATCTCGGCTCACCGCAACCTCCGCCTCCTGGGTTCAGGCAATTCTCCTGCCTCAGCCCCCTGAGTAGCTGGGATTACAGGCATGCACCACCATGACCAGCTAATTTTTTGTATTTTTTAGTAGAGACGGTGTTTCACCATGTTGACCAGGATGGTCTCGATTTCTTGACCTCGTGATCCACCCGCCTCGGCCTCCCAAAGTGCTGGGATTACATCTCTTTGGTCTCCTTTAATGTAGAATAGTTTCTTGACTTTTTTGGGTTCATCTTCCATAAAACTTACATTTTTGAAGAGCTTAGGTCAGTTATTTTGTAGAATATATCACTTTTTGGATATACTTGATTTCCTCATAATTCTTTAGATGCAGGTTAAATATGTTAGGAATACCACATAGATTGTATTGTTTATATCACAATGAAGAAGCACAGATAATGTCAGATTGTCTCATTTTGGGTGATGATCAGTTTAACCACTTGAATATGATATCCATCGGATTTCTCCATTGAAAAGTTTCATTTATCCATTTGTATTTTGTCAGGAATTTGTGAGGTGATACTTAGAGACTATGTGAACATAATGATCCTCAACAAACTTTCTCTTGGTTTTAGCATCTATTGATGATCCCTTCCTGTACCAATGATTGATTACATTGGTAGACGCAGAGGTGATTTTCCTCATTCTATTATTCCTACTTCTTTTATTATCTGGTATTCTTTTGCACAGAAAACTCCCTCCACTCTGTCCATACTCATTTATTCTTGAGTATCATTACGGATTCACAAATTTTAGTAGACATGTTATAGTAGTTCAGCATTATTCTTTTATGCAAACTCTCCCAAATTTGGACAACAGGAGACCCTTCGAGTTTGGTCCTGTGTCCTTTTAAACATGTTTCTGTTTGTCTGTATTTTATAGTTAGTTATAGGCTTTCTGGCACAGTAATGATCCAGGCTTATCTTAGATATTTGCTGTTACAGACTTGATTCTTTCTCTTTGGCAGAGACATTGACAGAGTGAGACTAAGATTTGGGAAGCCAGTTGACAAGAAGGCAAGAGAGGGGATTCAGAGTAAGAAAATATTCGGTGGGAATTCTTAGCCAAAGATTTACCTTGGGTATGTCTCTCAAGCTCTTCAAACCTGCATTTCTTTTCCTGGAAAATAAAGATTATTATGCCAATTGCTCAGGAAGGTTGTAAAAATTAATAAACACAGCCCTATGATCGGCACATAGTATTTTTTGGCCATTATCACTAGCGACAACCTTTCAACTAGGTTAATTTCTGGTAAACTCCAACTACCCGCCTCCGATGCATTTATGATCAACTTGCTTAAGTTTACATTCAGAGGCTTTGCTTAAATGTGGCTCCAGGGTTGGGCATGGTGGCTCACGCCTGTAATCCCAGCACTTTGGGAGGCCGAGGCAGGCGGATCACTAGACCAGCCTGACCAATATGGAGAAACCCTGTCTCTACTAAAAATACAAAAATTAGCTGGGCGTGTTGATGGGAACCTGTAGTCCCAGCTACTCGGGAGGCCGAGGCAGGAGACTCGCTTGAATCCGGGAGACAGAGGTTGCAGTGAGCCAGCATGGCACCACTGCAGTCCAGCCTGGGCGACAGAGCAAGAGTGCGTCTCAGAAAAAAAAGAAAAAAGAAAAAAGAAAAAAAAAAGTTGCTCTAAGATGTTCTAAGGACACTAGAGTGTTTCTAGATGGGGTTAAACGGGTACAGGCTTTAAAAGGCCGACGAAACAGGCAGCTTTCATGGGAATCCTATCAAATTCGAGGAAGCAAAAGATACACGCCCCCCCCCCCCAAACACTATACGTATATATGTACATTTCGTGGTTTGAATTAGGATGTTAAATGAAATGTAGCCTGGTAAAATGTAGACTGGGTGTAAATCCAAGCTCTGTCACTTACATTTCCCATTTTAAAAAGTGAAGATACACTTTCCTGGCGCAGTGGTTGTGAGTGTAAAATTTGGGCCAAGGAGACCGTCAGTCTATCGTGGCGCAGGGTCATATTTGTACCTTAGGCGGCACTTCCATCTGGTGGCATAGCATCCCAATTGCAAGGCAAAGGACAGAGTGAGGGAAAGGCTGAATTCGTAAACCTACACCCTTAAGTAAAGCCACAGAATTGAACTGTGAATGAAAATATTTCCATCCTGTACCTACAGAATGCTTACTTCAAATAACAATCACGTCCTGGTACGACAGAGGAATTAGACAATTTGCTGAGGTTTGCCTCCAAGGGCACTCATTCATTCATTCATTCATTCAAGAAACATCTGTTGAGTGCTGACTGTGCGCTGTGCTGTGTTCTGGACGCTTGGGATACATCAGTGGACTAGAGACACAAATTCTGCCCTGGGATGCCTTTTCCTATACATCCTGTACTATGTAAACTAAACTAGATAATTTGTAAAGAGCTCTTACGGATTACAACGTCCCCTCCAAAGTCAACGGGACATGTTTCCAGGCCTCTATTACCATGGCTAAGTGGAGAACCAGGGCGCAGACCCACTCCAGCCGAAATAAGAACCTACCAGGCACAACTGAAAGTTAAGCCACGCGCTAGAAGTTGTCATCGCTGACAAAACAGAAGACGCCTTTCCGCATCCCCTCCCCGCCTCAGAAATCCTTGTATTCTTTTAGGGAAGCAAGCGCTTCACCCGAGTGGCCGGGATCGAACCCATGGAGGGCAGGGGGCGACGGCGCCTGTGGGACTCTGTTTCCCTGCGGAGACCAAGCGGTGGGTGGCAGGCAGGCCGGCCGCCCTGGGGGCCCTGAAGCTCTGGGTCGCTCACCACGCCCACCTATCGCGCACAGGTAAGCGTCCGGGCTCGGAGTTTCGGGGTCTCAGCCACTGAATCCCCAGCGAGGCCTGATGCCCCCCGGTGGCGGCGCGCAGTCTGAGCGCTGGGTCCGGAACAGAACTGTCCTGCGGAACTCCTAGCGCACGCTCGGTTTCCGGGGGAGGAGGGCGGCGAAGGACCTGCGCGCGACGGTTCTCACTACTGCTATGGAGGCGTTGGCTATGGGGGTCCGGGCACTGGGGCTCTTGCGGGTCGCACCCGGTGGCGGGGTCAGCCGGAGTGAGTTTCAGAGGCCGTGGGGACGGGTAGCGAGGCCTAGAAAGTTGTGTCTGTCCAGATTGGGCCTGAGACGGGTCCTGGGAGGTCTCGCTGGGCAGGGGAAAGAGGCCCTTGCACAGCCTGGGAGGACAAATGTATGGGAGCGAGGGGCTAGAGGAGTGCAGGAGCAAGGGCAGGGGTCAGGGCCGGGCCGCGGGAGGAGCTGGGGCCGCCTCTGGGAAGCAGCGCACGTTCCGTGCACGTCTGCCCATGTCTTCCCAAGGAATACTCGTACTTGCCTCGGCAGGTTCCCTGATTTTGGCCTTTGGAAAATAAACTCAGCTTTTCTCATTCTGGATATTGATAGTTTTGGTGTGGGACCTTTAGTCTCCTGAAGTTTTCTTGTCTTCCTTCAAGACCCTTTCAAACCGACCACTTTGCTCACCTTCCCAATGACTCTAGTCCAGTTTTGACTCTGTTTCCTGGTTATTTTTTGCCCCTTACTGTAAAGCACTGATTGGAAACACGACAGAGGAAACTGGTGGGAAATAGCGATCCGATGTGAAAGAGCCAAATTTAAAAGTAGAGGCACTGATCTAGGCCAGCTCTGTTTCTTCTGCTGGTGCTTGCTACTATTACAAATCGGTTTAAGTTTACCTCTTAGCACAGTTTTGGCAGTATATTAATCATTTCTTCAGTCTTCATATTTATTGCAACTTTCCACAGGATTTATAGTAACATCGCCAGCTTCTCAGCTGTCACCGACAGAATTGACAGAAATGCGGAATGATCTCTTTAATAAAGAGAAAGCCAGGCAGTTATCTTTAACTCCCCGAACTGAGAAGATAGAAGTTAAACATGTTGGGAAAACTGACCCTGGTACTATCTTCATGATGAATAAAAACATTTCAACTCCCTACAATTGTGCCATGCGTAAGTAACAGAATCAGGTTACAGTTTGGACCCTTTTACTTGAGCTGTGTAGAAGTACTGGTGCAGGAGACAGGATGTTGAATTACTCCCTGGACTTCCCAGAGGTTCTTTATCTGGCACCTTACTGTCTGTTCACTATCCCTTTAGCTCTGGAGGGTACTACGAGTATTCCAAGATTGGTACTGTAGTGTACAGATTGTCCTGCTTGTGGCTTGTTTGCATCTGGTTTTGTTTAGGGTACTAGATTATTTTCTGGCAAAAGGTGGCCAGACCTGAGTGCATTGTTACTAGTGTACTTTCTCCTTTAATTTAATTTAATTTTAGAGATGGGGTTCTGTCTCTGTTGCCCAAGCTGGAGTGTAGTGGTACTATTATAGTTCACTGAAACTCCTAGCCTCAGCTTACCAAGTAGCTGGGACTGTAGGCGCCCACCACCACACCTGGCTAATTTATTTTTATTTTTTGAGAGACAGGGTGGCTATGGTGCCCAGGCTGGTCTTGAACTTCTGACCTCAAGCCATCCTCCTGCTTCAGCCTTGCAAGTAGCTGAGATTTGCTTGCTCCTTTTAGCTAGGCTGTGATGTGGTAGGAGCAGTACCATGCAGGTCTCAAGAAGGGATTTTGGTATAAAGGATTGCCATGTCCACGGATTACCAGCTTTTTTTGCCCTGTTTCTTTCTCTCCTCTTTGTTATATAGCCTAATTTATATCTATCATCTGCTTTCCACTTGGATCTCTCTGGGTTGTATTTTTGTTTACATTTATATTTACATGTGTAAATGTGTGAGTGGGAATGTGAATGGAGTCCATGTGATGGGGGTAAAAATATTTATATTTTAAAGAGACAACTGTGCCCCATGTGTGATTTGGTGTGGAAATGAAGGGAATAAAGACCTCTGTATTTTGTTTTTGATCAAAATGTTTTGATAGTACCTTTGATAGAACTGGTAATACTGAAATTAAAGAAACCCCCAAATAGATACAGGCATGAGTAGCTGCTTTGTTTAAACTTTTGGAAAACTCAGTAATAATTCCATTTAAGTAATTAACAACTTTAGTTAACAACTTTAGTGATCAGCTTAAACTGGCTTAAAGAGAGTACACTCAGTCTTCCTTCACTCTGGCACGTGAATTAGAACGTATACATGTTTACTCATTTGGTTCTCAAGTGTTTCTGAAACCTCTGCCATATGATAGGCATTAGGATTACAGAGGAGGATAAGACAAAACTCAAGCCCTTAAGGAGCTTTATACGCAACACGTGTAGTGATGAAGCTTCTGAAGCATCCTCAGCATGACTCCTGACCTGAGACTTCCTTGTCAATCATGCTTGCAGTCATTCAGTAAACTTTTATTGAATACCTGCTATATTCCAGGCCTAGTGCTATGCTCTGGATATACTGATGAGTGAGCAAAAATAGACGAGATCCTTGTCCTTATGGGACTTATGTAGTGGTTGATAATTTAGACCCTGTAGTTTGACTACTTTTGTGAGTAGCTGTGTAATTTCAGAACATCTAATCACAGTTGGTATTGCATTCTGGGATGATGAAACAGACCAGAACTGATTGGCTTATGGGGAATTCATATTAATTATTAAAAAATGGTAACTACAGCATTTAACTTCAAGAGTCTATATCATAGAAATAAAAGATGGTCTGGGAGCAAGACCCAAAACCAATCTAGAACTGATTTTTGCAGGTTTGAATTAATATATTTCTCTTTTCTTTTGAGTTGTGTGTGTATCTATCCAAATATATCCATGATGCTGCTCTCTGAATATTCAAGTGTAACTCTGGGAAAATTGTTTCATTAATAATTGACAAATTAATTTCAAACTAGACATAGCCTTAATGAATTTTGTGAATGGTTTGGGTAATTTTGTTAATAACCAACAAGACTTTTGAGTATATTGGATATTATTTATTTATTTATTTTTAAGATGGAGTATTGGTCTGTCACCTAGGCTAGAGTGCAGTGGTATGATCTTGGCTCACTGCAACCTCTGCCTCCTGGGTTCAAGTGCTTCTCCCATCTCAGCCTCCCAAGTAGCTGGAATTACAGGCTTGTGCCCCACACCTGGCTAATTTTTGTAGGGCATTTTTTTTTTTTTTATTGGTTATAGGTGTAATATGCTTTGTTTCTCTAAAAAGGACAGTCTGCAGAATCTTGCCTTCCCATTATTTTATTTCTAAATGTAGCACTTAAACATGTAACTTTTCACTCTGTATTTTGTTAGATAATCAGTCTGTTTTAAATTTCTAGACTTAAGTGAGTGGTACTGCAGGAAGTCCATTCTGGCTCTGGTGGATGGACAGCCTTGGGACATGTATAAGCCTTTAACAAAGTCCTGTGAAATTCAATTTCTTACTTTTAAAGATCGTGATCCAGGAGAAGTGAATAAGGTATTTCTATCTCTACATTCTTTTTCTATTTCCCTTTTTATTAAGACCTGTTTTCTATGGGGTGTAACGTGTAAAAATACAGCCAAGTTCAAATGTTGTATTGTATTCTTTAGTCGATGTTTTACTTGTTAGATTAGGCACTTTGGTAGTTGAGAAAATACCAGTGGCATCCATTTCTCTGTATTTTTAGTATGATATGTCTTTTATATTTATATCTTTGTTTAATTGACGTTCGTTAATCACCTTGTATATTGTGGGTGATTCCATTTGCACTGCTACTACTTGAATTCAGCCTTTAACCATCTTATCTAGATGATTTCAATAACTTTAACTCTTTCTGCTTACTCACTGCCTACTTTTTTTTCTTAGTACTTAAAAATTGTTCTTTTACAGGCATATAACAGTTATAGTTGAACAAGAAAATGATAGCAATGACAGTAATAGCCAACAATGAGTATGTATGTATTATGTATCAGGCACTGTTGTGGGTGATTTACAGACATTGACTCTAACCTTCATACAAACTCCACAAAGTTCATGCTGTTCTCCCCATTTTCCTGATAAACTGAGATAAAGAGAAGTTCAGCAGCTTGACCAAGGTTACTGATTTAGGAACTAGTGGAACCCAGATTTGAACCTAGGCATTCTGACTGGAGTTCAACAGACATTTAAAGACATTTAAGTAGGATAGAAGAAGAAGTACATTTTGCTACTTGCCTTCAAGGCCTGGGTTTGTAGTTATTTTTAGTGTAATGTGGTTGCACAGCATCTATAATGGAGCAGTCTGTGCCACACACAGTGAAGTGACTCCACTTTTGTAGTCCTCAGATGTGAAGAAGAGCTTCTGAAATTTAAGCGCTCAGAGTAGTGTCAGCAAAAGGGGAACACAATGGACAGGTACAGTGTAGGTTTCTCCTTGTGACTCTGATCAGTCATTGATTTGATACCATCCCAGGCATGTCTATGGATCAAAAGGTACTGGTAAAATGAAAGCCCAGTTGCTGCTGCTTTGCTATAAATATGAGTAATCTGAATGATGTGCTATGATGTTAGGTATACGATAAGACTCACAAATAATTCATAAAAGTTGAGTTTTTTCTCCATATTTATAAATGGCATAAACCGTTACATAATTAATGTATTTATTTTACTTTAGCGTAAGTTTGTTAACAAGTTAACTTTATTCTGGGTTAAAAATGAATACTTTCAGATACTGAAACTATCTATTGATTGATAACTATTATAGTGTTTGATGTCTTATATGAAACATTGCTAAGAACCTGAAGTTGATGCTTCATTCTTTCCTGATTTTTGCTCAGTAGAGGTAATGTCATGGCCTGATGGTAACTGTTGCTATATATTATGTGAACAGAGATATATGGGACATAGTTTCTAAGTCAGAAGTTCACTTAAAATTTAATATTGTTGAAACTTCAGTGAATCTCAGTGTGTTTGTATATATTTTATAGATGTATATATTTTTTCTAGGCTTATTGGCGTTCTTGTGCTATGATGATGGGCTGTGTGATAGAGAGGGCATTCAAAGATGAATATATGGTCAATTTGGTCAGAGCTCCAGAAGTTCCTGGTAATGTACACGTATAAATATGTCTTTTTATGATCCTTAAATATTTTGGTACCTATTTTGGTTTAGTTCTAATTTTGTCTAATATAAATTACCATTGTACATATGTTTCATTTATCATGGGTTACAAATCCATCTTAATATGATGAAATATGAAGTAGCCTTTGCAGGTTAATAATTAACATTAAGAATTACTGGGAATTGTTTGTCTTGAATATGAATTTCATGGAATTCCACGATCTCAGAGTTTGTTTATTTTTCACAATTTTGAGCATACATTTCCAAATTGGGTGTGTAGAGGAGGAGAAAATGTGAGTATAAGTAGATTGCTGGAAAGAGCTGTGCTTAGGTGGTAATGTTTCACCAGACATGACCATGACTCTGGAGAGAGATACTGCTTTGGCCAGTAGAAAGGGCGTAGACTCTGTAATTTCACTAAAACTAGGATTTTGTAATAATGAGTATGGTAGGAGCACATGTATAATTTTTTTTTTCTTGAGATGGAGTCTCGCTCTGTCACCCAGGCTGGAGTACAGTGGTGTGGTCTCGGCTCACTGCAAGCTCTGCCTCCTGGGTTCAAGAGATTCTCCTGCTCAGCCTCCTGAGTAGCTGGGATTACAGGCGCCCGCCACCATGCCTGGTTAATTTTTATATTTTTAGTAGAGGCGGGGTTTCACCAGGTTGGCCAGGCTCATCTTGATCTCCTGAACTTGTGATCCGCCCACCTTGGTCTCCCAAAGTGCTGGGATTACAGGCATGAGCCACTGTGCCTGGCCGTATAATTTTTTTTTTAAACAAGTAGGTATACCTAAAATATTTGAAAAAAATTCAAGGAATGATTCTAAGAACAAAACACCAAAAAGAAGATATTTAGGGGATATAAAAGAAATTTAGCATTTCCTATCCATTAAGTTGCCTATCTACTTCCTAAATATCTCATTCTTTGGGATTTTTTTATTTTTTTATTTTTGAGATGGAGTCTCATTCTGTTGCCAAGGCTGGAGTGCAGTGGCCTGATCTCCACTCACTGCAACCTGTACCTTCCAGGTTCAAGTGATTCTCCTGCCTCAGACTCCCGAGTAACTGGAATTACAGGCTCCTGCCACCATGCCCGGCTAATTTTTGTATTTTCAGTAGAGACAGGGTTTTACTGTGTTGGCTAGGCTGATCTTGAATTCCTGACTTCAAGTAATCCACCTGCCTCGGCCTTGTGGAATTTTTATATCTGGTAACTATGTGAAGTCTATATGGTAATAGCATTTTTGAATAAAACTTCACTGTTTAAAAAATATTAGTGATTTGGGGTTAACAATCTTTTGGCTAAGGGAAATATGATAGAGCTCTGGCAAGCAGCTGGAATAATGGCAACGATTTTATAATTAGTAGTCTTGGGAGAGAGTGCTAATCCTTCATTCTGTGGTCTAAATATTCAGTCATGGCAAATGAGTAACTTTCTGTCAGGGCAGGTTTGACTTTGCTTTTTATTTTGGTTGGATTTACAGTAATTTCTGGTGCCTTCTGTTACGACGTAGTTTTGGATAGCAGACTTGATGAGTGGATACCAACAAAAGTAAGTGTGTTCTTCTGGAGTATTAATTTTAGTCTCTGCCTTTCTTTGTTAGAGTGATTCCTATGTTAGTATTGTTGAATGGTACTGCACATTGAGGACATTTAAAAAAATCTATCAATTATCTATCTACTGTCTGTGTCTACTATCTATCTATCTGTCTGTCTGTCTATCTGTTTATCTGTCAGTGTTGTTGCTTTTTCAGCATATTTAAGACAGAGGTATATGAATGAGAGTATTTACATCAACATGGTCAGTTGTCTTGAAACTTTATGTCGTCCTTGACCTTTTCTTGATGTGCCTTCTAAGTGGTTTTAAGGTAGTGGTTTTCAAGAGGCCCAGAATATAAAATATAAAAATGTAACTATCCTGACTGATATGGGGGGCTTGGAGCCATACCTGTTTGGATCGCTGGAGCGCAGTTTGAAAACCACTTCCCTAAACCATTACCTTGTTGCATACTGTGAGGTCCCTGTATATACAAGGGTCACATTGAGAGCTGGGCGAATTAAATAGTCAGACTTTGACAAAGCTAACCCAAGCATCAACAAACAAAATATTAACAAACTGAACTCTTTGTGAATGCTCTGCCTTTGTAATGAGGATGGTCCTTGTTGGTTTGGGACTTGGGTAGCAACAGGGCCTAACAAGGACGGTATAGATCAGGTGCTCAGTAGGTAAGGGGTGCTGACGGTTATCAAAGATCAAGCCTGGAGATGCAGTTCTGATTGGGGAGAATAGGCAGATACCTAATTCTTAATTAAACAAGACTATATGTCCTACATAATGGGAGTCTGGAGATCTGAAAAGGGGAAGCAGTGTAGCACATCATTTTATCAATTCCGCTGTGTACATTCATTTTACACTTAATATCTCTGAAAATAAATAAGCCTTATAGTAGATGGTATCTTGCAATTATAATTTGTAGTTTGTTTTTTTTTTCTCCCTTAGTGATACATCTTAGATTTAGTGAAATACTGTAGTCGTTCTTAAAAGCCAGGATTTTGGACTCAGGGCAGATCCAGCTTTACATTTGGCCTTAGAAATTACTTTTTGTATAATCCTGCCCGTATTACATATTGAAAGAGAGAGAAGAGGGAATCAAGAAAGAATGAGGAAAAGGGAGAGGGAAGTGAGAGAGAGGAGGATGGGCGGGGGGAGGGAAGGGATTGGAACTGCTTCTTCATGACCTCTGGTACCCTGTCAGTGAACCTTCTTCCTTTTCAACTATGCCTCCAAATTGAAGATTTTCTTTACTTGGGGGGAGTTAGGTAAAAACGAATGAGGTCAAGCTTTAATTTCCTTATCTATGAAAAAACGTAACTGCCTTTTTCTTTGTTTTTTTTTTTTAAAGAGATGGTGGTCTTACTATGTTGCCCAGGCCCGCCTTGAACTTCTGGGCCCAAGTAATCCTGCCTCAGCCGTTCTATTAGCTGGGGCTGCAGGTGTATGCCATTGTGCCTGGCTTTTTGCATTTTTCTTTTTTAAAAGATAAAACCTTATAAAAGAAATATATTAACCGATTGCAGACTGCGTGGAGTTGGGTTGAGTAGACAGCTTAAAGAAAGTAGGGGAGAATTACATTGAAGGAATAGTTGTATTAAACCATGAATGTGGATTTTTTTATGTAGTAAATTATTCTTTATAGAGAAGTCATTTCATGCAAAAAAGTTTAATAGGATTTTTATGGAAATAATTTTATTATAAAAATTATTTGTGTAATAGTGCTTGGTCTTTTTTCTATTAGTAATGATTTATAGCATAAAAGCTCAATTAGAATTTGTATTAAAAATCTTATAAACATTGTTAATGTGTGTTAATCATTTTAAGTATGTCAAGAAATTGACATTTTTATTAAGCAGAAACTTTTGATGTTGGATACGGTCGGTGATGTTGCTACATTTCTAGCGAAACTTTCTGAATTATGAAAACAATTTTTTCCCCATGCATCTAATAAACTTAGTTTTATTCATACTGTAAATACATTTTTATGTCTTGCTAATTATTTATTGGCATTTTTACTTGCTGCATCATAGCTTTAATAAACATTTTAAGGTTATATAATTTAGATGAAATTATAATATAATTTGGATAACATTTCTTTATAGGTTTATCTTTAATAATATTCATGCAGGCTGACACCTTAATTACAGGTAAATAAAAAGTTTTTTAGTTTATGATCCAAAACTTCAGTTGTTGCAAATTAATAACTTTCTGTCCTAACAAATTTGATTTTGACTTTTATTTTAGTTGGATTTGCAGTACTAAGCAGAGTTTTGTCTTAACTGGCTTATGGAGAAATGGTTTTCAGTAAATTGTTACTAAAGGTTATTAATTTCATTTTTAAGGAGAACTTACGTTCCTTTACAAAGGACGCTCATGTTTTAATTTATAAAGATCTTCCATTTGAAACTCTGGAAGTTGACGCAAAAGTGGCATTGGAAATATTTCAACACAACAAGTAAGTGCAGGCTTTCTTTAAATCAAGGCTAACTCTCCCAGTATTATATGTAATGAAGAAAATTCAGCTCTTAAGAATTTATATATTTGATATATACATGACAGTGTATTATTTTCCACTCTGAGACCTCTCTTTCTGCAGTAGAAAGTTTATTTATTTTTGTTGATCTCATTTATTTCGTTGAGAATAGTGTTCCCCACCGCCCTCGATAATTTTCTCACTTTGTTTTACTTCTCTGTTCTTGGACCAGCCTTTCTCATTATATCAACATAGTGTATGTTTCCTGTTTTTCTGTCTACTGTGAAGTGATAACGTATGTTCAGCAGCTATATAATTTTGTGTATTTGGCAGCGTTTCTCTCCTACCCCTCCACACTTAAAATGGCACTGGTAAGATGGAAAATGCAAGCAGTTTGGAAGGGGGCTAACAGCGGAAGTAAAATGTTTACACAGCCAGTCTTAGTCTTCTGCATGTGAATTATTCATTTGATGGATTTTCCAACATTTTAATGCCTGTCAGCCTTATCAGTTTTCACTCAGAAAACTTTCAGTTCACCTTCTACCGCCAGTTATAACAAAATAAACTAAATTTTAGTATTAGTCTAATAGAATATTAGAACTAATTAGAAAGAGAAATCTGTGCTGTAAAAAAAAAAGAAAACTAACATAGGTACTAGAGTCTGAAGCCAAAATATGCACCTACAAATTGTTAAAGGTTACAGATTAGAATTTCTTTAGGTATACAGACATTGAATTACAAATTCTCATAGGGATAGTTTGTCATAAATACATTGGGTTAGTTATGAGTGCCTTTTTGACACATACCGTATTGCTTGGCATTTCTCAGAGCAATCTGTCTCATAATTTTCTTCCATAAGATGCTGATTGACATGCTGAAACCATGTACTGTGTTAAGCTGAGTTTGAAGAACAGTGGCTTAAAAAATTTTACCCAGTGCACTCAAGGATCTCCCAAAGTGGACACTGAAAATTTCCCAAATGTATTTGCCTATAAAACACTTTTTCTTGAAACATTTTTAGCATGTCCTGGAATCAGTGGACTTAGAAATCAGTTGTAATGTACTGTTTTAACTAGAGTACAGGTAGTACTGTAGGACCAAACCACCATTTATAGCACTGATTCTACAAGAAAATTCTTTGAACTATCCAAACACATCAAGTCACTCTCTGTGCCAAAAGTCTAGGCACGTGCTACCCAAAATAAATATAATAGGAGATGTCTGTATAATTTGAAATTTTCTAGTAGTTACATTGAAAAAAAGTCAAAAGAAAAGGTGAAGTTAATTGTAATGATTTTATTTAAATGATACATCTACAATGTTATTTCAGTATAATTAATATTAAAATGTTGATGTTATTTTATGTTCTATTTCACTGAAATCTTCAGAACCTGGTATGTGTTTTACACTTAAGACGCATTTTAACTAGTACTAATCACATTTAAGTGCGCCCTTGCTACCTTACTGGACAGTGTACTTTTGACTTCACTTCAGTATACATTGAGATTTTCCATTCCTCTGTCTAACTGTCAAGGACTGGTAGGGGCTTCTGGAACTTTTGTAACTTAGTTGAGTGTGTGGTAGGAGGAAGGGGATAATTTTGGAGGAAGTTTGATAGGACAGCATAGTTGGATCATTGAAAGTGGGCCAGTGATTGAGCCTTTCTGCTGCAGGGGTAAGGGTGGGACCTTTTTGTGACTTTGACTCACAGGTGACAGGAGCATCTCTTGGAGGTGGGTTAGGAGGGACAAGTATTCAAGGGAATTAATTCGTCCCCTTCTTAGTGCAGGGGGGACTGTAGCAGTCAGTGGATGTTTTTGCATAAACCAGTGTTCCCCAACTTAGCTGTATTGTGCATACACATGTGTGCACACATACATGTATTACTTGTTTAGCACCCTGGGTAAACAGATAAAGCTCTCAATAGTAAATGGTAAAGTCATGGTTTGAACCTGGGCTGTGCAATTTCATCTGTGCCTTTAGCTAAACTTATAGAATTGGGTAGATTTGAGAGACACTGGGAAGTAAAATTGACAATTTGATAATGAATAGAATGTAGGGGATATGGTGGGAGAAAGGAATTAAGGAAATCTTCCATGTTTTTCACATGGACACCTGGGTGTTTGGTGGTATCATACTAAGATAGGAAATTCAGGAGGAAGAACAAGTTTGGTTGGGGAAAGAGGTAGTAATTTGTACAGTTTGCAAATTTCAGGGTAAGGTGCTTGTGGAACATCCTAGAGGATGTTCAGATGGGTCTTGGATATACAGTTGGGTGCTCAGAAGAGGTAAGTAGATTAGAAGCAGAGATATAGGAAATATAACTACATAAGTTGTAGCACAAGGAGCTGGTCTAGGGAGGATGCTTAGAGTGAAAAGAGTGTGTAGGACAGAATTCTAAAATAGTAGAGAAAGACAACAGTGGCCCGAGATGTAAAATAACAAGCAGTAAGGAATGCCACTGATACCCATGGAAAGAGCACTTTGAAGCTGGGTGTGGTGGTTCATCCCTATAATCCCAGCACTTTGAGAGGCTGAGGCAGGAGTATCGCTTGATGCCAGGAGTTTGAGATTAGCCTGGGCAACATAGCAAGACCCTATCTCTATCTCTAAAAAAAAAGTTCTTCCAGCATGGTGGTCACAACTGTAGTCTGAGCTTTTTGGGTGGCTGAGGCAAGAGGGTCACTTGAGGCCAGAAGTTTCAGGCTGCAGTGAGCTATGATTGCGCCACTGCATTCCAGGGTGGGTGAGAATGCAATCAATCAATCAATCAATAAATAAAAAAATTTGAAAATGGAAAGAAGGAACACTTTGAGAAGTGGAGGTAAGCATTAGTATTAAGAAAATGAGGACCAGAAAGTGTCCATTGGGTTGACACCCACCGGGTACCAGTGATTTTCTTGGGAACAGTTTGGCAGAGTCATGAGGCTGTAGCCAGATTAAAGGGAGGAGAGGAGGGAGGCTCCAAGTGTAACCCACTCTCATAAAGTATGGCTGAAGAGAAGGGGAAGTATCTTTAAACACCTTTTTACATATTTAGAGTTAAAAAAATTTTTTTTTTCTTTGTTGCTTTTCAGATACAAATTAGATTTCACTGAAGAGAAGGCATCTCAGAACCCTGAGAGAATAGTCAAGCTACACAGGTAAAGTAAAACTCTAAAAACTGGCTGCTGTGCTAGAGTAAGGCTTAGCTTTATTGTTATCCGAATAAAGCATACGACCAAAATAGAGGAATTTGTACCTTATTTTGTTCTTATTACCTTGTTTTCTGTTGCTTTGTTCATTGTTTCCATATGGTGGTAAGTGAAAGCTCTAAGTTAGCTTTAGAAACACTTGTTTTCTGTTCCTCATTTTATTGTTTGCTATTTTTATTTAATTTTGAGTTGAAAACTACTTAAAAAAATGTAATTTTTAGGAATTTTGAAATTGGGTAACATAGTCATTGTTAGGAATTGAACATGATAATTCATGTGCATACAGAAATATGAATATTGACTAATTAGTAATTACTTATGATACATGTAAGTTAAGTCAGACTGTGCTTTCTGACACATGGATGAGAAAGGTCCACTGCCTATGATGACGTTCTCCCATGGGGAGCAAGTCCCACTGCATTCTGTAGAGATGACTGGGATCTGGATCTGTTTTCTCAACCTCATGTTTTTATGAATTGGACTTAACTTTCTTTCTCTAGAAACTGCTTTTGTTTCTGATTCTGTCCTGCACACTGAATTCTTAACTCTGTTATGTGGATTATTGTAAGGTTTTCAGATGATCGGTTTTAGGCAATTGGATCTGCTTGATAGTGTGATGTATTGCATGACTCTTAAAGACCTTTGAATTTATATCAGTGCTAATTAAGAAAATGTTTCATTTGATTTAATTTTCAAAGTTTTAGTCTCTTTACCTGAGATCATTGTCGGGGTCATTAGGAATTGAACTGAACCATATGTAACATTTTTGATTAGGGTGTTAGCAGCAAAGAGAATAAAGAGATTTCTTTTGCAAGCTATTACAAATTATTTGATGTTGCGGTTTTGTTTATTTTTAAATAAATCAGAATAGGTGACTTCATTGATGTGAGCGAGGGCCCTCTTATTCCAAGAACAAGTATTTGTTTCCAGTATGAAATATCAGCAGTTCACAGTCTTCAACCCACCCAGCCAAGTCTCATACGAAGATTCCAGGGTCTGTCTTTACCTGTTCACTTAAGAGTAAGTAAAGCTTAAGGTTTCAGGACTTCCAGTTTGGGTATAAATATAATTCTGGACTTGATTTTATACTAGTGTGAAGAATATAAACTTTAAATTTTTCTTAAGTTGTGGACACTAATGTTTTGTAAACTCAGATTTGCGATTAAAAACAAAGTTGGCCAGTGCGTAAATACACAATTACAAAAGAAATATTAGTTAAAAAAATTAAATCATTTAAAATTTTTCAAATTAGCTTAGGTGAGGGTGCATTGGCAGAGGGAGTATTGGAGTGCATATTGGTAAGACCTTTCTGAAATGCCTTTTAAGCTTACATTTGGCATGCTCTTCCCTCTATTCATGACCCCAAGCCTGTCATTTTCCATGTTGCTTGCCCCCTTGATAATCTTTTTATTTAAATTTTTGATGTTGAGATAATTGCAGTTATAAGACAAATATAGAGAGATCCCATGTATCTTTACATAATTTCCTCTTGCAGTACTAAAATATACTATCACCACCAGGGTATGGGCATCAATACAATGAAGATACAGAACACTTCCTTCACTATGGAGATCCATCATGTTGGCCTTTTATAGACACACTCATGTACAGCCACTTCCCTCTGTTGCCCTCCATTACCCTTCCTGCTTACCCCTGCCAACTACTCATCTGTTTTCCTTTTCTATAGTTTTGTCACGTCAAGAATATTATATGAAAGAGATCAAACAGTATGTAATTTTTTGGCATTGACACTTTCACTCAGTATAATTCTATGGAGATTCATCCAAGTCATTAGGTATTTTAGTAGTTCATTCATTCTTACTGATAATTAGTGTTACTAGGTCTGGATGTATCACAGTTGGTTTAACCATTCATCCATCAAAGGACATCTGAGTTGTTTTCAGTTTTTGGCTATCACAAATAAAGCTGCTGTGACATTGTGTGCAGGTTTAGGTGAATAGTTCTCTAGGATAAAATACCCAGGAGTGCAATTGCTGGGTTATATGATAAGGGTATGTTTAGTTTTTTAGAAACAGCCAAAGTGTTCCAGAGTAACTGTACTGTTTTACATTCCCACTAGCAATGTACGAGTGATAGGTTTTTCCACATCCTCACTAGCATTTGATGCTGTCACTACTTTTTTTTTGTTTTAGTCCTTCTGATACATTTGTAGTGATTTCTCATTGTAGTTTGAATTTGAATTTCTGTTGACGAGTGGTATTGATCATCTTTTTGTATACTTATTTGCGATCTACATACCTTCATTGGTGCAATGTCTGCTTATGTCTTTTGGCTACTATTCTAATTAGACTATTTTACTTTTTAACAGTTGAGTTTTAAGAGTTCTTTATATGTTGTAGATGCTAGTTTTTTGTTACATATGTAATTTTCAGATTTTTCTTGTTTTCTGTCTGTACCTTGTATATATATGTGGCTGGTTTTTTCATTCGCTGGGCAGCCTTTTGGAGATAGAAGTTTTTAATTTTGAGGAAAGTAGTTTATCAAAATTTGATAAAATTTTTATTTTAATGGATTATGTTTTTGGGGTTAATTTTAAGAACTCTGACGCGCTCCAGATCCCAAAGATTTTCTCCTTTTTTTTTCCTACCTAAAAGTTTTAGAGTTTTACATTTATTTAAATCTGTGGTCCATTTGAGTTAATTTTTCTGTAAGTTTGAGATTTAGGTTTAGGTTATTTTCATTTTTTTGCCTGTAGATGTCAAATTGCTCCAGCACCATTGGTTGAAAAGGCCACTCTTCCTCCACTGAATTACTTTTGCATCTTTGTTAAAAATTAGCTTGGCATATTTATGTAGGTCTATTTTTGAGTCCTCTATTTTGTTCCATCGATCACATATGTTTACATCACTACCAGTACCACACACTCTTGATTACTGTAGCTCTAAATAGATTGTGAAATCAGGTAGAGTAATTCCTTCCTTGTTACTATTTTTTGATCAAGATTGTTTTAACTATTGTAGTTTCTTTGAGTTTCCGTTTAATGTTAGGATAATATTTTCTATGTTGAGTCTTCTTGAGATTTTGATAGGAAGTCCATTAGACCTGTATAGGAATTTGGGGCGAATTGACGTCTTTAATATGTTGAAACTTCCAGTCTGTGAACTTACTGTATCTTCTTATTTATTTATATCTTCTTTCATCTCATTTTGTAATTTTTAGTGCACCTCTCCTTTACGTTTGACTTTGACTTTTCTCCACATACCTGCTTCCTTTCCTAGACTTCCCCACTTGAGAAAATTTGATCACCCTTTACCTCAAGCTTGTCCAACCTATGGCCCATGGGTTGCACATGGCCCAGAATACCTTTGAATGCGACACAAATTATTAAACTTTCTGAAACATTCTGGGATGTTTTTGCAATTTTTTTTTTTAGCTCATCAACTGTCATTAGTGTAGTATATTGTGTGTGTTGCAAGACAATTCTTCTTCCAGTGTGGCCCAGGGAAGCCAAAAGATTGGATACCCCTGGTTTCCCTAGTTATTTGAGGTAATCCTTGATTCTCTTTTCCCCTCATAGCCAGGCTCCCAGCCCATCCATCAGCAAGTCCTTTCAGCTTTTAACTCTGAAATGTATTCTGAGCCTATGTACCTCACAGCATCTCATCTACTGCTGCTTCCCTTATCCACGTTCCTGTTTTCACTCTCCTTCCTTGCTTTCACAATGCTTAGTTGCCAAAGTGATCTTCTTTTATTTTTAAAATTTATTTATTTTACTTTAGGTGCATACTATATCTGGCATCAAAGTCATCTTTTTAATACGCAATCTGTTACATACTTCCGCTGGCCCAAACTTTCCAATGGCTTCCCTTGAACAAATCCCAACTCTTTATTCTGTCTCACAAAGCCCTGCATTATCTGGTCCCTGCCTGCTTCTCTGACTTTATCTGACACCACTCCCTTCCTCACTCACTATATTCCAGCCACAGCTTAGGGTCTCTGTACCAGCAGTTCATTCTGCCTGAGTCAAGCATGGTTTTCCCTTTAGACAGACCAGGTAGCTCTTTTCCTAGAAGGGTTCGTATGTTGAAATTTAGTGATTTTACCTTTTGTTAAAGATTTTATGAGCTCATTCAGTGTGAAATAGTCACTGGCCTGCCCATATGTCTTGATACCACTTTCAGTTGACCTAATAAAATTGATTTGGTCATGATACACTTTGCACAGTTTTCCTTAGTGCATTCTGATAATCCTCTGCTACAGGAGATTGTTAAGGACTCAGGAAATTGAGTTTAAATTTTACTATTGTTTCGGGAGGCTGAGGTAGGAGAATCGTTTGAACCTAGGAGGCAGAGGTTGCAGTGAGCTGAAATTGCACCACTGCACTCCAGCCTGGGCAACAGAGTGAGACTCCATTTCAAAAAAAAAAAAAAGACTATTGTGTTTGTTAGGTTTTACTTATTCTTCAGGGTCATTTGCTGAATTCTCTGGTTCTGCCATTTCAGTGTGAAGATGTCACAGTTGGTTTTTAATAACTGACTTCTTGTGATTGCTTATGATTTGAAGAATGACTTCTAGAAGGTTGAAATTGGCTATTTAAGGATTGAACCACAATCTATGGGAAAGTAGGGCAGATTTTTGCTTCCTACTGTAAGGAATGCTTTCTATGATGGAAATGACTAAGAGAGGCAAAAGTGGAAGAAGGACACATTCAATCCTTAAGTCTTTTTTTTCTTAAATGCTCACTGCAACCTCCACCTCCTGGATTCAAGTGATTGAAGAAAGCGAAAAACAAAGCAGCTGTTCTATGCAGTACCTTTTTTTCCCTACTATGATCCACTTTCGTAACCACTTAGCTATATTAGTACTACCTTTTACTTATTTTGTTCTAAAAGCTATATAAAGACTCTATCCCTTTTACTTTGATTTTACTACTTTTTTTTTAGTTCATTGCAAATCTTTTCTTTTCAAGGCACATTTTACGATATGGGATAAGCTGTTGGAAAGATCTCGGAAAATGGTAAGTGTTTTTGACAGCTAATTTGTACCCTTCTATAAAGAAATGCATCAAAATTAATCGGTAACAACCAAAGGGGGGACAAATGAAAGAAGCAAAGAGAAGGGAAAAAGTAAGTTGTCTCAGTAGTCAAAGCAGTGTTTTGACTGTTTACTCCAGTAGTATTTTGGTAAGACTAAAGTTGTAACTTGGCAGTTCTCTTTTGATTTTATTTGTTAATATCAAGAAAATGATATTGTAGAACTTGAAGAGAAATAAGAATATTATTATGCAATAGTAATAGTTCTTAATAGTTATAATGGTATCAATTAGGTCTTAGGATTTATTTTTTGTGTGTAAACTTAATGAATATTTAAAGGATTAGGATTTTTCAGATATATTTTAAAGCTTCTTTAGTCATTGACATTAAATGTGCAAATGTCCTGAAAAACCAGATTTGAATGTTTGTGTTTTTGTGGTTTATTCTGTGTCATTAACATTTATATTTCATGAGTAGGAGTGATTGTATTTCTTGACCACAACTATCCCTGTTCTCTATTCCATAGGCTAAGTATGCCTCTTTTACTTAGGTTGTCTGATGGTTATCCTGTGTAATCTGGCCTTACTAGGCCTTCCCCTTTATTCTGATTTCCCTAAGTATGCCTCTTTTACTTAGGTTGTCTGATGGTTATCCTGTGTAATCTGGCCTTATTAGGCCTTCCCTTTATTCTAATTTCCCACAATGCAACAGACACACAGGCCAAACTTGCAGGCACATTAAGCATCACACGTCAAACTTACTTTCAGGTTTGCATATTTCTTCATGATCGTTTTTCTTTCTGGACATCATTTCCCATTCGCTTTCTGTCTGTTTTCAACAGTCATTCTTTACTACCTCGCCCAAGTCACACGTTCTCCATAGAACAGTCTCAGAGTAATCTCCTAACAAATAATTACCCATTCAAATAACTTTGTGCTTGATGGTATACCTCAATGTATGTTTTTTGATAGTTTTCTTTGCTAGTACATTTATCTTCTGTTTGTTAATCCTTTCAGGATTTGTTATATTTGTATAAGCCCAAATTCTGAATACATTACCACATGAGGGGGTTCCCCAAGAAGTATTTATTGACTGTTTTTCATGATGATATATAAACCTAGTCTTTATTAATGACTATATCGATAGGAATTATTGTTTAGGGACTTCACCATAATATTCTGGTATAAGGATTGTATAGTTTTTTTTCTCATAACGAGGTATCTTTGAATGGATGGAGTAATTTTCTCTTTTTTAGTTGGTCACAGTGATATTTTAGATAAAGAAACTGAGAAAGAAATGTTCAGCATAGTTACCTGGAGTTAACTAAAATTAAAAAAACGTGAAACTGGAGAAGAAATGAATATTTAAGAAATAGTTTGGGAAACTAAAGAAGCAATAGTAACTGAACACTTTAAAGGAAGGAAAAATGGAGAAAAATGGCAGAGACAGTATCTTATTTAGAATATCTAATAATGTTAGTCAATACATATTTTTCAAACATTTATTCTTGTTTAGTTGCTTTTTTCTACTGTGCCTTTTGCTTTTCTGAAGGGATTAGATTAAACATGTGGTTCGTTGATTCAACACAGACTTACTGATTGTTTACTGTGTGCCAGGTACTGTTATGGTCTGGAGGAATAAAAAATGAACAAAATGTACTTGCTGCCTCAGGGAAATAATATTGATTGGATAATTAGACTTATAAGCAGACAGTCAGGTGTACTTGTAGGGCTCTGGCATAAAGAAGAGGACTCAGACCAAGCTGGGGAGTTGGTTAAGGAAGGTTGGCAGGAATTGGAGTCCCTTAAGCTGATTTTAAAGGATGAATAAAAGTGAACCATGCAGGTAATCCGTTGGAGAATGGGTTAGAGGTTATCTCAGAGGAAGCCACTTGCTTACAGGCATGAAGGAATAGAGATTATGATAAATGTAAGATGAATTTGAATGTACAGGTCATGTCTAGGGTAGCTAATGAGTCTGCCCGAAAACAATATGAGGGGGCTTGTGTTCCATGTTGTGGACTTGCATTCCTGACTTTCTTCCTCTACCGCACTGAGGTGAGAGCGAGTAACTGGAGAATTTTGAGTAGGGAAGCGACCTGTTGATCAGCTATTCTTGCTTAAAAGCTCATTCTAGGGGTAGCATGGGATATAGCTGTGAACTGTTAAGCCACGGGTTCTGTTAGGGGGATAGAAGAGGAAGAGGTCCTAAAGTTCAGCCATGATAGGGAGAATGACTATGGGAGTTAACTTAGGTTGAATTAATAGGGCTGTTGATGGACTATGCAGGTAAGAAGAAGAGAGTGAATTCTCAAATACTGTCCTTAGTTAGCAGGGTAGAGCCCTTTGCCAGGATAGATGATGCAGGCAGGACAGGTTTTGGAAGTGTTGAATTCGGATTTAGCCATGTCTGCTTGATGAGTCTGAGTGACATAGATAGAAATAGGGACATGGAGATATCTATTTAGACTAAATCTATAATATGCTATATTCTAAATGGAATTATACTCCAAAAGAAAATAAACTGATTTAAAATATCTTATTACAGCACTTCAGGTGTTTTTTTTCTTAGTAATGATTGTGTTTTATGGCTCAAAATTAAAATGGCAAACTTGAGAAGCCTAGGTATAATATGCCTTAGATTATATTTTTGAATGGAATTATTGTTCTTTACCTGGTAATTTATATTGGTAACTTGCTGTTTAAATCTTCTTACCTAACTTTCTGTAATAATAATTATTGAGGGAGAAAGATAGAGGATCATTATAAGAGGGCTGTGCGATGATTTAAAATGGTGGATGATGCTTGTTTTGGCGGCATGTAAGCTAAAATTGGAACGATACAGAGAAGATTAGCATGGCCCCTGCGCAAGGATGACATGCAAATTTGTGAAGCATTCCATATTTTTAGAAAATCTGGCACATATATACCATAGAATACTACGCAGCCATAAAAATTGATGAGTTTGTGTCCTTTGTAGGGACTTGGATGAATCTGGAAACATTCATTCTCAGCAAACTGGCACAAGAACAGAAAACCAAACACCCCATGTTCTCACTCATAGGCGGGTGTTGAACAATGAGAACACGTGGACTCAGGGAGAGGAGCATCACACACTGGGGGCTTTTGGGGGGTGCTAGGGGAGGGACAGCAGGGGGTGGGTAGGGTAGGGAGGGATAACATGGGGAGAAGCGCCGGATGTAGTATGCGCCTTTGCAACAGCCCTGCATGACCTGCACGTGTACCCCAGAACCTAAAGTAAAATTAAAAAAAATAATAAAAATTAGTGAATCACATTTAAAAATAAATAAATAAATAAAATGGTGGGTGAAGGGTAAAACAAAGTGTTTATTAGGAAAGTAAAGCTATTCATGTTTTTACAGGTAACTGAAGATCAAACTAAACCAACAGAGGAAAGTACATCTACCTAATAACTTTCTAAAATTTAAATATGTATAATAAAATAAATGTTTTTTATATAATGTTTGTGTGTGCTTATAAAGATTAACTCTTTCTCCCTAAGATTCATTGTGAGATTTTCTTTTTCCTTTATGTTGCTCAAAATAAAAACTGTCAAAAACAGGTCACTCCCTTGCTGCTCCGTTGAAAAAAACACTTTGGCATGTTTTCTCTTTTTTTTCTTCATGTTTAGGCAGATACATTTGAATATAAATTTAATTTCTAAAAAACATTATAGGATCATACTGTACTTGCCTACATTTTTTTTTTTTTTTTTGCTAAACAGTGGCACAGTAAACATCCTTGTGCAAAAATGGCAAATGTTTGTAGATAAAAATGATAGTAAGTATTTATTATGTGCTTGGCTTTGTGCTAAGCTCTTCATGTGGAACCTTTTGTTTAATCCTCACAGTGACCTATTGAGAAGATGTTTCCTGTTTTTTAAGTGAGGAAACAGCATAAAGCTTGTGAGTGGTAAAGCGGGAATTTGAATGAAGGCAGTTTCACTCACATGCTCTTACGTTCTACTCTACGTTGTCTCACATATAAATAATTTTGTAGGAATAGATTTCTGGCAGTGGAATTGTTGACAAGTGCTACCAGATGCTGGCTTCCCAAAGGTTTTGCCAAATGTCACTGCCAATAACAGTGTCTAAAAGTGCCTGTTTCCCCACACCTTGAGTAAGCCTCGGTTATCAGTCTTATGAAAACATTTTGCCAAAAAGTTTCTGCTTCAGTGTTAGCAAGTTTTCTACTGCTGGTGCACAGGCTTCCTCTTAAGACTTTTTTTTTTTTTAAATTTCTGGGTGAGGTCAACTTTTTTTAGAGTCCGTATCTTCCTGTTTCTTGATTAACTTTCTCATTTTGCTAGTATTTGTTTCTGAGCTCCTTTCTAGGAAAAAATGTCTAAGGGGTGAGCCATTGCATGTCTAAAGGGGGTTCTGCACTTAAATTTGATGAACTGTTCATCTAGATACAGAATTCTAGATTGAAAATTCGTTTTCTCTTAGAACTTTGAAAGCAGCTCAGTTACTTTCTGCATCTGATTTTGCTAATAAAAGGTCTAATGCCAGTCTGATTCTTGTTCCTTTTTGTATAACCTGTTCTCTGCATCCCCTTCCCTCAACACTCTGGACATTTTTAGGATCTTACTATTCTGGCGTTGTAAAATTCTACAATCCTGTACCTGTATCTAGGTCTTCAGTCAGTTATTCTGCTTGGTGGGTAGGCAGTCCTTTCAATTTTTGACATATCTCTTTAGGATTAGGGTTTTTTTTTTTTTTACTTTATTTGTTCTTTCTTTTCTCTGAAGGTTCTTTGTTTCTATAATACCTTTCAGCTGTGTTTGCATCTTCTGTATTGGTCCTCTGCATTTTCCTTTGTCCATCATTTTTCCTGCATTTATATTTTACTCATTTAATACATTATATCAAGCATTTCTTAATTTCTGAAAGCTCTCTTTTGCTTCACTTTCATAGAAATCTATTCGTGTTTTCTGATGTGATGTATTTTCATGAAGCTCTCTGAAGATGCCTAAAGTGGGTTCTGCACTTATATTTGATGAACTACACTTACATTTGTTCGTTCATTCACTTTGTAGTCCCTGAATTATCTCTTTTCTCTGGTGACAGATTTTTTTTTTTTTTTGAGATGGAGTTTCTCTCTTGTTACCCAGGCTGGAGTGCAATGGCATGATCTCGGCTCACTGCAACCTCCGCCTCCTGGGTTCAGGCAATTCTCCTGCCTCAGCCTCCTGAGTAGCTGGGATTACAGGCACACTCCACCATGCCCAGCTAATTTTTTTGTATTTTTAGTAGAGACAGGGTTTCACCATGTTGACCAGGATGGTCTCGATCTCTTGACCTCGTGATCCCCCTGCCTCAGCCTCCCAAAGTGCTGGGATTACAAGCGTGAGCCACCGCGCCTGGCCCAGATTTTTTTCTTATCTTAGTCTTTCATTTACATGTTTCAGGCTTTTTTCAAATGTCTAATGTTTGTTGGCTGGCAGTTTGTAGTTGACCATGTGGATGTAAGGAGGTTGAGTGGCAGCTCTGTGGTTTGAGCAAGGGTTGGCTTCTCATAGGCATCACTAAGGATGAGTAGGTGAATCTGGCTGATAGGATGAGGGTTTTTAAAATGCTAGAATGAAGAGGTCTTGTCTTGGCTACCAATTTCTACATTGACTATCCTAGTTTTCCCCAGGCTGTTCTTTCACTTACTTGGTAAAAGATCCCACCAATATTTTGTGTGGGGCAATTCCTGGATTTAGGCCCTTCTGTATTTGAAGATGGGGTAGTGTTCAACCTGTTTATATAGAGACCTTTAATTAATTCCTTTCTTTTTAATTAGTTTAGATTTAATTAATCCCTCTACTGTCTTCTATAATCTCTGAACTTCCGCTGTCTCTGAACTAAGGCCCACCTGGGCCGGTTGGCTGCCTCTGGTGGAACTTCCTCCACGTTTTCTAGGTGGTGATAGATATTCTCTAGTGTTTTATTAGTCACTTTCGTCTTTTAGAATTTGGTTGCCATCTCTTGTTTATTGATTTTTTTCTTCCATTCCCTATGTTGTTTGTGAGCATACAGAAAAATACAGAGAATAATTTCACAAACATTTTCATGTTTTTTGGGCAACTAGCACTGTTTGAACACCTGCTTTTTGGCAACTTCCCACACTGTGGATCTTACCTTCCCCATAAGAAGAATGAAATTTAATTTCCTCTCCTTCGTTGCGGCTATGGCTCAGACCGAGTGTGGGCTCACCAGTTAGACATACCTGTGTGAAATCTGGAAGCAAGTGCTTTGAAGACAAGAGTAGTATGAGTTACATTTGATTGAAAGGAGCAGTGACGTGGTTTTCAAGGCAGCAGTGGCAGAGGTCCCATGTAATGGTGCAAGGTGTGGAGGCTGTGCTTAGCAGTTTTTCCCCTGCAGCTGCTCCCTGGTATAAAAATGGGCATTTTTTTTGGAGCCTCATAGTCCTGACTTCCAGGTCTGAGACTTGTGAGCCATGTTTTTCTGTTTGTTTAGCTAGTGTAGATCCTGTTGTTTTGTAACCAAGAATGCTGACATGTAGCCACTATTTAATTGTAACCACTGTCAAAGTTTTTCCTTATTTACTTGAAATCCTTTTGTGTTTAAATAAAGGAAAAGCTGCCCATCCATTGAAGGTCTTGTTATGTCATTTCCTTCCTCTCAAGAAGAACCACTATCCTATTTGTACCTGTCCTTACCCTTCCTGGTTTTATATTTTTCCTACAATCCACAGTATTCTCCGTTTTAAAACTAAACATAATTGGTTTCCTAATATATATCCTTTTGCAATTTGCTTTTATTGCTCAGCATTGTTTTTCATGTATAGCATGTTGCTACCTGTAAAGAGTTAGTACATTCATTTCACCTGCTATATGGTATTTCATTATATGATTAATCCCATCATTAATTCATTTTCTTACTGATGACCGTTGAGGATATTATTGGCGTTTGAGTATTACAGTATTGCAGAAAGTATTCTTGCACATGTTTCTTTGTGTACACATTTGATACTGTCTCTAGGGCCTGTATCAAAGTGGACCATGTGTTTTCAACTTTACTAAATATTATTAATTGGCTGCTACAATAGTCGTATCAGTTTACTCTCTATCAGCAGCATGAGAGTTCCCATGTTTTCTCATTAACATTTATTATTTTCAGACATTCAGATATTTCATTGGTTGAATATGCATATCCTATCTCATTTAATTTCTTTAATACTGAGCATATAGTACCAATAGGCATCTCTTTATTTCTTTTTATGAATTACCATTTTACAACCTTTGCCCCTTTTTTACAATTGGATTTTTGGTTATCATATTAGTAATAGTTTTATATGTATATATATATTTTTTGAGATCGAGTCTCATTCTGTTGCCTAAGCTGGAGTGCAGTGGCATGTTCTCAGCTCACTGCAGCCCCTGTCTACTGGGTTCAAGTGATTCTCCTGCCTCAGCTTCCTGAGTAGCTGAGTAGCTGGGATTACAGGTAAGTACCACCACATCCAGCTAATTTTTATATTTTATATAGAGAGATGGGGTTTTACTATGTTGGCCAGGCTGGTCTCCAACTTCTGGCCTCTAGTGATTCACACTCTTTGGCCTCCCAAAGTGCTAGGATTATAGATGTGAGCCATCATGCCTGGCCTGTTCTTTATATTTTTAGAAAATTAAACCCTTGTGGGCCAGGCACGGTGGCTTACGTCTGTAATTCCAGCACTTTGGGAAGCCGAGAGGGGTGGATCACCTGAGGTCAGGAGTTTGAGACCAGCCTGGCCCAAATGGTGAAACCCCATCCCTACTAAAAATATGAAAAATTAGCCTGGCGTGGTGGTGCATACCTGCAATTCCAGCTACTTGGGAGGCTGAGGCATGAGAATCACTTGAACCCAGGAGGTGGAGGTTACAGTGAGCTGAGA